GTTCTGTCGTGAGACTCGTGATCGGTTTGAGTTTGCATCGAAGGCCTTTGCAAGATCGACAAGGATGGTCTCCCAAGAAAGGCCAGCGTAAAGTGCATGTTCCTGCTCCATGTCGCTCTCAGCCTTTGTTTTCGTAAGGTGGTTGGCACAAGCTGCGTGGCAGTCGTTGACTTCAGCGAAGAGGGCGAGGACTGACCTATGCCAATTCTTGGCAAAAGAAATCCAAAGACATCCTGAGAGGCCTACAACTACCTGATGAAGCATCTGGCAAAGTGAGTGCAACGGCAAGAGACCTGCAGCAAGAGACCAAAAGCTGCAGCTGCTGTGTATGTCATGCTCCGGCTCAGTTTGATGAGTTGAGCACATGTGATAGACGAATGCAGCTTTTCCGCAAGGATGCAAGGTTGCGAATACATGTGCCAAAATCAGGTAGATATTGACCCATTTCTCGAAGAAACACGCATCCGACAGGCCACACAGAAGAAGACCGCAGACTTTACACATCAGATTTTCAGCAGCCGACTCTCAAGTCTTGTGTCTTAGACTGTGGTATACTTAGCCCCGACAAGGAAGTCCTTTTTGTAACGCAGAGAATAGACTGAGTAGACCTGAAGTAGACTGATTCTACTAGTCTAGGCGCCAAGAGATATACCTCGGTTTCTTTGCTTAGCAGATCTGAGCAGCTTAGCTCGATGGAGATGGTAACAAGACTGCGGCCATAGAGGCGCCAGATGTCCTTCCACCGTTTGAAAGGAGATGATCGACATTTTTCCAAAACGAAGCACGAAGCAAATCTTTTGCCTGTTGAGTTCATTTCGTTCATTTGCTAGACATAACGAGAGAATTTCTCTCGTTGAGATGTGAATTGAGCGATGCTTTGAGCATGGAGGCCTGGAAAGAGGGAGATTGGCACGATGAAGAATGTCAAGGCCAAATAGCCAACAGCTGTTTGCAACCAGATGACTCGATTTGGTTTTATTGAAGCCAAGACTGTTTGCCTTCACCCTAAACTTTCTCATTGAAAGATCCAGCTGGATATGGACATTTTATGACATTTTGCTGCATTCTACGCACGAATTGCCACCTATGGGTGATTCCTCTAAGCAGGAATGTTTCCTCACTGTGTTTCCAAGCCTCCTTTAGTGTCTCCCAAAGCTGAGAAGTCTGCTCTCATCCAGTTGGCACCTTTGCTTTGCTACATCCAGCTTGATTCTTTGTGGCACAAGTAAGAATCAACTGAATTACGCAAGTACCCCCCAAATTACGCATGGACATCGCTGCAAGGGAACAACAAGCAATAATGCTTAGCCTCTTTCATCTCTTTTTGATTTCTTTATGGTGTCGTTGATGTATTCTTTTTTGTCTATCTAATATATGAATATGTAATGTTAAGTTTCCCTAAACATCTAGGAACCAAATGATTAGCGCGAGCTATCCTGCGTCCTAAGTAGTAGCTACTTGCAGATACTAGCTACCTAGCTACTAGCTACCTCTAGCTACTAGCAGCCTACCCCCACCCCCTCCAAAAAGAGTAACATAAAACTATATGTAATATATGGCTAGTTGTACGCAGTACACGGCTTGTCACGTAACGATCGGTAGCTACGTGGCTCAATCCACGTTTTGCTATCGGCGGGGCCCAGCTTCGCCGCCATGGCAGCCCAGGAGGACTGGGCTTTGGTTGAGGGCCGTGCCAACCTGACGGACACGGAGATGGAGGTCCTGAAGAAGTCAGGTTGGACGGTCACTCGTTTGGCTACGCTTGTTGACAGCGACGACTCCGTGCTGAAGGCAGTGCTCTGGAAGTTGGAGCAACAAGGAGATGGGGTCGCACTGGACAAGGACAAGCTTGCCGAGTTGGTTGAGCTGTGCGCAGTCTGCGCACAAAGTCGGCATCGGTCGGACGCAAAGCGGGGGTCGCAAGACCTGTTGGATGCCCATGTGGCCCATCAAAGAGATCTCCGTCGGCGCACCTTCCATGAGATTCAGCGGGCCGAGGCACAGTCGAAGGTTGAGTTAGTTGGTACCGCAAAGAGATCGAGGTGGCCCACCAGGCTCAGTATGAAACTTCACATCGCCTCGAGTGACTTGGCGCTTCGAGAGCTGGCAGAGAAGCAGGAGCGCGACAGGTGGGTGAAGGAAATTCGGAACATTGTAGTAGCAGCCAAGCTGCCAGTGGCACTACGCTCCAGCGAGGATGCGCTCCTCATCCGGGTGGCCAAAGGCCGAAGAGCCAACACGTTGAGGAAGCATGTAAAGACATGGATGAAAGCCTCCCGGTGGATGGACGCTGTGTTTGGCGAGCAGTGGCCTGCGAGCCCAGAGTGCTTCGCGGAGTTCTTGGAGGCCATGGTTGAAGAGCCTTGCGCACGCAGCTTTCCGGAGTCTGTATACAAGGCACTCATGTTCCTCGAATACGCTGGCGAAGTTCCTGAGTCGGATCAGCTGTGTCGGGCACCGGCCATCAAGAACGCTCTGGAAGAGGCAAACCTCCGCTTGCAATCAGTGGAGCTGAAGCCTTCGAGAAAGGCGCTGCTCATCCCGGTCTCGATCGTGGTCGCATGGGAGCAGCATGTTTGTGATGAATCCCGTCCCAGCTACCATCCTGTTTATGCATGGTTTCGGCTCATCAAGCTCTGGACGGGCGTGAGGTTCGATGACACCAAAGGGGTGCCCAACCGCACGTTGGAGCTCAGTGACACGAGCTTGAAGGGGGTCATTCATCGTTCCAAGACCTCCGGACCAGGAAAGCGGGTCATACTCCTCCCCTTCTACATCAGTCGCCAGGCCTGGATCATGGAGAAGGACTGGCTGGAGGTCGGTTGGAAGCTCTGGTCGGCCATGGGGACGAGTTCAGGGCTAGCGACAAGAGACTTCATGTTGCCCTGGCCGGACAAGTCGTGCAATGGCTTTGTGAGGAAAGTGGTGGACTACCCCATCGCCTCGACTATGTCGCAAGCGCTGTTCAACGAGATCCGCATGGGAAAGGGAGAGGGCTCGAAGCCTCTCCTGCAGCCAGGCTTGGGTGTGCTGTGGACAGAGCGCAGCGAGAGGGTGACCGTGCGGACATGGTCCCAAGCGGCAAGGATCCCGGAAGATGTGCGCAGGATGATTGGCAGATGGCGCCCATCGGCGGACGAGGCCTATGAGCAGAATGTGAAGGTGAACGTCCTGCGTAGCCAGAAAGTCATGGCCATGTTCATCAAAGAAAACATGGCAAACTCGGATCCCTTCGATGAGACCAATGTGGTGCAGTTGGTCGAGCAACGCATGCGGGGCATGGGCTTCAAGCAGGAAGAGTGTGACGAGCAGATGATGTGCTTGATGACCTTCATGCCCGGTCACGACGCTGCGAAAACCTGCCTCAGGCCTAAGTGGACGATCACTGGGCCTGTCGTCCTAGTGGGTGATGATGAAGGCACAGTTGAGGTCAAGACAGAGCAGGCAGCCGGATCCACAGGACGACGGGTTGGAGCAGCCCAACATTCTGCCACTAGAGAAAGTGGCAGGGATGTTTGTAGTATCGGTGGTGGGCAGGTCGAAGACCAAGACCCTGCACCGTGTCGGCGACTGCCATAGGCAGCCTGGTGTGCACTACGCTCATTTTGAGGTACTGGGGCAGGAGGCTCCCAATGCATCGGCCTACCACAAGGCATGTCGACAGTGCTTTCGGTTCGGCATTGCAGACGTGGCCGGGGCGGCAAATGCGCCCGGGGAAGATGAGTCCTCGGGCGAGGTGACGTCGTCGGAGATGACGGAATCTGAAGGGGAAGAGAGCACGGGGTGAGAAAGCGACAAGGGCATTCATCCCGTGGGCAAGAGTAAAACATACCGCGTGGCAGAGTGCAGCACGAAAGGACGCGGGAGAGAGTTTCTCGGGTCGGGGTGGGTGCTTCACTAAGAGGTTAAAGTGAGGGCGCCAGGAAGAAAGGGGTGGGGGCGCCTTCGTTGAGAGTTGAGGAGCAACACCAGAGAAGGGGGGCGGTCGTCGAGACGAGAATCGCTTCGTTCAGTCGGTCGTGTGTTGTAAGGAGGCATTAGAGGTGTCAGGCAGTCAAAGCTTGTGCATGTGATTTGGCATGATGTCTCGACTGACTTTCGGACATGGTCAGGTGAGAGGAGAATCATGGAGCAATGCGTGGCTTTTCCCCCCCTTTTGGCCTAAACAAGGGAAAGGGGGGCACTCCGCGCGGGGCGTCGGCGCGCACGGGCCGGCGCGGTGAGCGGTGGAGATCATGGCCGGGATCGGTCATGATACAGATGAACGGAGGAGGAACGCCATCGCGTTGCTCGATGCAGACCTGCATGGACTCCTGCAGGTAAAAGAA